TGAGGTTGTCGTGACTGCAGGGGATCCAACACTCCTTGGTTTATTTCGGTAAAGTTGCGTGACTTTACCGAGAGAAACCAACGAGTATGGAGTCTGCCAAAGGCTCTTACGGACGGATCTCTGTCGTTACGTGTGTGTGTGTGAGAGAGAGAGAGAGACGTGTCTCTTCTGACTGCCGGAAAGAAGATGAAGAAGCAGAGAGAGAATGGAACATCTACCCCCGCGGCGTCCCCGCGTGCTTGCGAGTGTCGGAGCGCGAGAGCCAATGGAGAGAAGCCTTGTGTGTGTGTGGGGTGTGTGTGTGTGTGGGGTGTGTGTGTATATATAGGGGCGGGGGCCAATCGCGCTACGATGCGCAATGTTCCACTTTGCGCTCCTATAAAGTAAAGTGCACGACGAGCGGCGAACACGAGTCTCAGCTGTGGCTGTAGGCACGCTGTTGCTGCTGCTGCTGTGTGTGTACACCACACGTGCGTGTGTGTGTGTACGGCAACACGGCTATAGGTACACGAGTGGACGCGCTTCATTCTTGACGCCCGACGTAATCTCCCTCCCTCTCGTATATGTGTGTCAACCAGCGACTCGGTTTCCCAGTGCGACTCCGCGTTTCGAGTTGCCTCTCTCTCGCTCTCTCTCCCAGAGGCGCGAGTTGTAGCAACAGGTAACAACTCGCCCACAGGCAAGCAGCTGGAGAGACAGATACACAGAGAGAGGGACACACGCGCAACTGAGAGCTATGCCAGTCTCGCCGCGGAAGGCGGTGCTGTCCTTGCTGCTGCTGCTGCTGGTGCTGTGTGGGACAAACTGCGCGGCTCGCCCGGGGGAAGGGGGGCGCTGCCCCCCGCGATGTCGCTGCCAGGAGGAGCCCCGCGTCCTCAGGGTCGACTGCTCCGAGTTGGGGCTCACGTGCCTCCCGGCGGGCATCAGCCCGCTCACCACCTTCCTGTGAGTACGCGGGTCCCCCTCTGCGCCTCTCTCCGTCTCTGCCCCTCTCCGTGTGTGTGTCTGTCTCTGTCTGCCCCTCTGTGTGTCTCTGTCTGCCCCTCTGTGTGTCTCTGTCTGCCCCTCTGTGTGTCTCTATCTGCCCCTCTGTGTGCCTCTGTCTGCCCCTCTGTGCGTCTCTGTCTGCCCCTCTGTGTGTCTCTGTCTGCCCCTCTGTGTGTCTCTGTCTGCCCCTCTGTGCGTCTCTGTCTGCCCCTCTGTGCGTCTCTGTCTGCCCCTCTGTGTCTCTCTGTCTGCCCCTCTGTGTGTCTCTGTCTGCCCCTCTGTGTGTCTCTGTCTGCCCCTCTGTGTGTCTCTATCTGCCCCTCTGTGTGTCTCTGTCTGCCCCTATGTGTGTCTCTGTCTGCCCCTCTGTGTGTCTCTGTCTGCCCCTCTGTGTGTCTCTGTCTGCCCCTCTGTGTGTCTCTGTCTGCCCCTCTGTGTCTCTCTGTCTGCCCCTCTGTGTGTCTCTGTCTGCCCCTCTGTGTGTCTCTGTCTGCCCCTCTGTGTGTCTCTGTCTGCCCCTCTGTGTGTCTCTATCTGCCCCTCTGTGTGTCTCTGTCTGCCCCTCTGTGTGTCTCTGTCTGCCCCTCTGTGTGTCTCTGCCTGCTCTTCTGTGTCTCTCTGTCTGCCCCTCTGTGTCTCTCTGTCTGCCCCTCTGTGTGTCTCTGTCTGCCCCTCTGTGTGTCTCTGTCTGCCCCTATGTGTGTCTCTGTCTGCCCCTCTGTGTGTCTCTGTCTGCCCCTCTGTGTGTCTCTGTCTGCCCCTCTGTGTGTCTCTGTCTGCCCCTCTGTGTGTCTCTATCTGCCCCTCTGTGTGTCTCTGTCTGCCCCTCTGTGTGTCTCTGTCTGCCCCTCTGTGTGTCTCTGCCTGCTCTTCTGTGTCTCTCTGTCTGCCCCTCTGTGTCTCTCTGTCTGCCCCTCTGTGTGTCTCTGTCTGCCCCTCTGTGTGTCTCTGTCTGCCCCTATGTGTGTCTCTGTCTGCCCCTCTGTGTGTCTCTGTCTGCCCCTCTGTGTCTCTCTGTCTGCCCCTCTGTGTGTCTCTGTCTGCCCCTCTGTGTGTCTCTGTCTGCCCCTATGTGTGTCTCTGTCTGCCCCTCTGTGTGTCTCTGTCTGCCCCTCTGTGTGTCTCTGTCTGCCCCTCTGTGTCTCTCTGTCTGCCTCTGTGTGTCTCTCTGTCTGCTGCAGTGTCTCTCTGTCTCTCTGCCCCTTTGTATGTCTTCCCCCTGTGTCAGTCTCTGTCTGCCCCTGTCTCTTTCTGTCTCCATCTCTCTATCTCTGCTTTTTGTGTTTAGTTTGGTGTCCTTCCCCCGCACCTCCGATTAGCACGGTTGGCTACGTACGGTGCGAAAGAAGTTCAACATTCATACATCTCTATGTCTCTGCATTGCCAGCTGCGATGGAAATGCGCGCAATAACCGGCAGCTCCGGTTGAGGGCCCACACGAGGTGACCGCGTGCTCAGTGTCTCTTGAAGATTGGGTCGACGATTCGGTGAATCACAGTATCATAACTAAACCAAACGTGATCGATCACCTTTCGTGGATGTACAACTTTCCCCTGTTGACGTATGTACCACATTTGCTTTGGTGAATTATAATAAAGATACGAATCGATTATCTCGTATGTGTTCCGTAAGTAAATGCGAGTTTTAATGGAAATTAATTGACGTCACGTTGGCAATTCTATGGCGATTGCTGACGATTCACGAAGGATAACAGCGGATACTGCTCACAACTAAGCGCTGATTGGCATCACGCGTTTGTGTCCAAGGCGGGTTTAACAAAGTAAAGATCAGCCGCCTTTACAGAGATGACTGGCGGTTACGCGCGGTGTTAATTGTTGATTGACATATTCGCAAAGTCTCAAACCCACCCATGGCCTTCGATGAATCTGCACATTCAGTTGCTTCAATAGCCACCGCATTCAGTTGATGACGGCGAATGTAAGCGCATGTTTATAGATCATCAAAAGCTACTGTGTAGGCTCCCACTAACTACAGATCAAGTATCCAATACCTCCTGTATATGGCAGGCATGATAGTGCACTCGAGTCGATATAACATGGGCATACAACAAACGTCGTCAATAAACTGTCATAAGCGGGACTTAGCGCCGTGAAGATAACCGGGTTGTGTAATAAATCGGGCGTTGAGAGAGCAATCCATTGACATTTCACTCGGGGGCTGTGTTCACTGGGGGCAGTGTAATCCAGGGCGTAGTAGTCATTAAGAGAGGGGGCCTAAAGCCATAAACCTGGCGATTGATTGCTGCGCTCCGCGCAGCCCGTGCACAGAGAGCAGAACAGCAGCAAGCCACGCGTTTGCATTGGGGCAGTGGTGACCTGTGGATCACGATAGTTGACTCCGTGAGCCCTGGGTGCCAACTTGGCGCCGTGCCACAGGCTTTGGTGTGGTGGACAGGTGGTTGCGCAAGGGGACGTCAGCTGCAATGGAGCCGGTAGCTCCGTGCGCTTTTACTTCACGGTGCACTTTCCAGGGCCCAATATGAACACGGGGAAAAGGACGCGTTCGCGTTGTGCGGTGCAACGCGACAACAGGAGCGCTCGTAGGGATCATCACGTTGTCGTTGCAAAGGGTCACACGTGCAGACGCTATGTAGGTGTGAGCAGAACAAATTGTGAAAATGGTACAAGTGGAACACGAAAGAGAGGCAATGATCATCATCCAACGATCGATACACTGCTGGACGCAGGCCTCCGTAATGCGTCCGCCCGTGTCTCGTGGACCCTGCGCTCTGTTCGTTCCAGCAATTGGGGAGAATGGAACAGCGCCATGGGAACTCACGGCGACGCGTGACATTGACACGCGGTGACATTGCCGTGAATTACGGTCGGGGTGAGAGGGGAGGAGGGCTCTGGAAAGAACGCGCGTGGCGCGGGCAGGGGCCGCGTACCCCGATCCCGCCACACACGCGCGCGGGCAGGGGGGGGGGCGGGGGGCGCATACCCCCGCAACGCGACCGGCGCTGTGGCTCGAGCCGTGAGGCGCTGCGGGGTTGGGTCGCTGCTCTGTGATGAACCGATATGAGAGAGAGAGAGGGAGAGGGAGAAAGCGAGGGGGAGAGACGTCCTGGGCACCGCTGGCGGCGAGAGGAGCTCGCCCTTGACTCTGCGAGGTTCCATCCCTGCTCCTCGTGCCTCTCTGAATGTCAACAACATATCGCGCGCACTCTGTACAATCGTTGGTCAACACGGGACAATTCCTGTTTGTTTTGTTTACAAACTTGCCGTAAAATGTGTACGGACAGCAATCAATAAGGGTGCCCATAAGATTACTACGCGAGTCAGAATATGTATTTATACTGGAGGAATCCAATGAGCTATATAGCTCTTTGTCACAGATGTAAAGAATACAACTAAAGCAAAAAAAACGTTAGGTTCAACAGTAACGTTTGTGATATGATTATTCTCAGGAAGAAAAAAAAAGATACAATTCTCGCCAGACTTCACTGACATTTGGACAAGTGTGTAATGGATGGAGGAAGTGTGGGTGAATGAAGGTCATGGATTCAGCAGCGGTAGCGAAATAGGCCAAGCGGGAATCTAATTAAAGCATTGGCTGGGGAAGGGTGCTGAGGACTTCGCTAGGGACGCATCCCAGAGTGTGCAGGCACCAAGGTGAGCCAGTGGATGTGAAATCATTTATTTATTAAGTTCTGCGCATTACGCACCGCTGACACACACGCACGCATTATTTCCAGGGACAACTCGTATTACCGTAGGAATACAAGCCAGCAGGACGAGTCCAATAGCACGTTTATACCGCAGTTAAACAGCCCTAAAGGCAGATTAACTCCGCATAGGGGTGCGTGACGTGGGCATTCGGCCCGGAGGACCTGCATCTGTCGATGCGTATAATGCCCCTTTAAACCGTTTTGTTGCAAACAAGCTGCCACGAAAAATGTAGCCGTAATAGATTTGAGGCTTTCTTACGACCAAACCCAAGACGTCAAAGTGTCCACACGTTGTGGTTGTCAGTTATGCGGAAAGGTAAGGGTTAGGTCAGAGGTCACAGTCGGTGGTGAACAGGTTATAGAGCAATGCCTGGCCACCCCCTGTGAATGATATTTGCATACTGTAAGTCCAAGGTGAGAAACACAACCAAGCGATGAGCTTTGGGCTCATAGGGTGTGAACGCTAAATCCACAATTGTATTGAATATGAAACCTGAATGCAGCATCAGTGGCGGGGATGCCTAAACACACTTCAATGCACGCATAGCTTCGTCACATCGGCGTGCTTATGTGACGTCACCACATCGCTTGTACCCGGCTTGGTGCACTTTGAGTCTACGTGAATCATGGAAGGCTCGCGGCTGGCAGGAGGTCACGGGACAGATCCCAGCTTTTATGGGTTTTATGGGTTACATACCGGTGATACAAACAACACTTTTATTTATTTACTCGAGGGTGCTTTTGCACGTTGTTCTAAATGCATTACGAAAGAATACGTCGCGAGACTTAAACTTCCTTGCGAAAATAAATATTGATCGTTCCTATTACAACGCAAAAATCGTTGCCACATGGTGCAATGCAGCTGAATGCAAACACCGTTTGCCACAATTAGATCCGTGACATATTTGTGACACCATCATGAGCTTTGTGGCTGATTGCGTTGGAAAGAGACGCGCTCTCGGTCGGAATGTCATACAACCTACCAGTATAGCGGTTTGTGATAAATAACATGCAGACTTGTATGTTTAACACGTAGGCTTTCGCGAGCAATATTATTCAGAATAAAGGTTTTTGGGTTAGATCGCGTTATTTATAAATGTGTCGTAACCCTCCACCACCCGACACGGCCAATCAGCAAAATAAAGTGTCACGTTGACAAAAGACAATTAGTTCACTACTTTAGCCCACCGGTGTGTTGAACCGGTTCAACACACCGGTGGGCTAAAGTAGTGAACTCAACACACCGGTGGGCTAAAGTAGTGAACTCAACA